GGCATATCAGTTTAATAGAGAAATACGGATGAAAGACTTTGGGCAGGTTCCTCGTCATCAGGAGTTAGGAAGCGTCAAGGAGGAGGTCAGCTCAAGGTCCATAGATAGTTACTGGCTCTCCAGAGCTGCCACCAAAGTTCGTCTCATATGACATCATCAAAACCAGCCAGATAGGGAATAACCGCAGTCGTACCAAATACAAATAAATTAACCAAATTTGCGCAAAGCATATACATACAAGCCTAAGTGAAGACGAAGAGGGGTCGAGCTCGTGCAGGTGCCCATCGTCAGAGATAGTAGCGGCAACAGAGGAATCTGGAGTAGTCTATCGCATCCCGTGACAAAACTATCCTCGTAACTACACAGGTCAGACTGGACATAAGCTGGTTGTGCGACAAGGCGACGCATTATGACAAGTGGCCGCCCACACCTACGAAATGGGTCGTGAGTTTAACTTCGCGGCCACCAAAATAGTCGTATACGCCGGAAATAACGCAGGCCAAGAATTGATTGAAGCCTGGGCCTCGGATGAGAACTCGGTCAATCGATTTATCGATCTGGCGCCGACGTACAGAGTCCTGCGTAGTCACCTCCAGTCTTGTGCCATCGGTCTATGATCGGCCTACATGCATTATAATTGTCGTTTGTTCTGTTGTTGCTACTACCTCTGACGATGGACTCCTGCACGAGTCTGAAAGCTCAGGACAAGAAACAAAATGTTCCGGTTTTCGAACCCTCTTCTTCTTCATTTATGCATAAACGTGGAACTCGAAATTTTACCTTCATTCACATACAGGCCTGCGCAGTGGAAAAATTTAAGAAAACTAGAACGGTCCTGGGCGTATTCTGTGCATGCACCATTATCAGTACTGCCAGGGGGATGCCACATGTGATCGGCAAACGCTGAGGCCTGCATTTGTGCGCACGCGTGATGCAGAAATGCAAACCGATATTCCTTAACAGGTCGAGGTCGTCGCTCGTGTGTCTCAGCCCAGTTCAGTCGTGCGTCCCTTAGTGTCTGTGCACGGTTAATAACACGCCTAAAGTTAAAAATGATTACTGGCAGAGGCGGATGAGAGGCCTTAAAGGCGTTCGCAGACGGTGCTAGCCATGGAAGAAAACAATCACGTGATGTACCTCATAACAGTTCGCTGCTTTGGGGTAGGTGTTACCTACCATTCAAGAGAATATCTTCGTCAAAACAATTTCGGAAAACGGAAAGATGGAAAGTTAACAGATTTACGTGTTCTTTAAGAACCAAATCCGACATCTCACCAGCTGCCCCCGTGGACACAATTAAAACGGTCAGCCGCGATGCCTGTCCAACTTTCCCCATTTTGTCGTAACAAACACCACTGGAGTTGGAGCGGATTTTCCGCCACCTGAGCAAAATGTAGGAATGATTGAGCCCGTGAATCTCCATTTCATACAAGCACGTTTATCTCGAATAGAGAAGCATGCTACGGTGCCCGCAGGAGCCGACGCGTCTGGAATTTCTGCCGCCATTAGCGGACGAAGTAAAGCATCATTTGTGCGCTGGAACGCGCTGCCCTTATGCTCTCACTGTCAGTACTTCAAGAAGGTCTTCTACAACGAACTTCTGAAGTGCTTTTTTCGTAGCGGACAGTTTGAGTGTTTGGTGGAAGTGTTATGTACCTACAAAGAGATTCTCCAACTGTGGGGAATCGCTGCACAAATGGTGGAAGGCTTGTCGATTACGCCTCCAATTTCTACTACCGGAACGTCAGAAGAAAGTTAGTCAAACGAAAACCCAAACCGCTTACGCGCTTGTATGCTGGGCCAGGTGACACTTAGACACGTTGCTACAATTCGACAATTCGCCTGTGGAGCAATAAATCTCAAATCAGGTTACTCCAATGAAGCAGACAACAGTCGTCCTAAAGACTACTTTAACTAAAGTAAACCTGCTCGAACTGACAGGGGCTTCTCAAATTACACCCTCTTGAGGAGAGGCTAGGCTAGAGTAGGGGTCACCACAAGAAGTGTACCTGCGATTAGACGACCCAACTAGGTATATAGTGTGTCCTGGTTCGAGATCCCATCTAGTCTACTTTTTTGTAACAATACCAGATGTAAACCCCGCAAACTCCGGAGTGAGAATTCCACATACCTGGATCGGGGCTCACGTAACGCTTACACTGGAAGGTCATACATACTTTATTGAAAACAAGTCAGTCCTTTACTCCGACTGCTGGCAGCCAATTTGCGGTGATACCGCCGCCGGCAATGAAGATCCTCTGGTGGAGGAAGCATCTTGTTCAAATTCCGGAGTCTGCAGGCCCAACCTTCATAACATAATTGAATCTTGGGACACCAGGACGCCCGATGACGACAGCGACTTCGACCCACCATCTGAGAATAATCTTAGGACGGAAACGAAGCCAAATAAAAACAAGGCAACAGGGGGCGCGTCTTCTAGTGGACACATGGCTGTGCTTCCTCACAGCAAGTCGACCAGTTCCATTGTCTCCTCGCCAGAATTTGCGGTCGCATCCACCGTCATTAGGTCGGACTTTATAGGCAACAGACCTCTGCGCAAACACTACGGTAGCATTAGCCCCTGGAAAATTTCGTAGGTTTTCGTATCCGACTTCCTCAACCACTTCCACTTGTGCTGCGGCCCACGGAAGTGAAATGATTAGTACGCTCTGAGCAGGGCAACGACTGGATGTTCGGCAGTTCTCATTTCGCGTAACCCACAAACACTCACTGCTACCGACATTCCACCATCGTTTCGCAGCCTTTGGCTTTCTATGTGGTTCTGCCCGCCGAGATTCTCTGTAGCCAACAAGGATGGCACGTATCGAACATATTTTGGATGATCCAAGTCCACTACCAGAGGTAAGAAAATAAAACCCCTGTAAATTGCGAGGACCTCCTCGATGTTCCCTTCGGCATCTTTGAAGGCCATGTTTTCTTACCAAATGTGTGCAGCTATGCAACAGACTGAGTCCTACAGTACATATTGGCAGAATACCGTGTGCTACAGGTCATGGCTCATACATCATGAATATGGACTGCGTTGAAGACGTTGCGGTGCTGGCAGGCTCCTTTGAAGAACTGCAGTGTTCTGTTTACCAGGTAGGTGCCAGGGTACCCAGGTGAATCAAGAGTTCAACGCCTCCAGAACGAAGATAGACGACTGGGACTCCGCAGTCGGAGACCTGCTCGGTCATGAAAGACAGTAGGGTTCCTGGGTTTGCAGACGATTTCTACTACCTTGGGCAAAAGTCACTGCCAGATGGACAAACGAAAAAACTCTACCATCAGTCAGACGAGACGGGCAGTCCCCGACCCAATCAAATTCTCGGTGGCCGGTGTGAGGTTCGCCTAAATACCAAGCTGTGAATATTCAAAACGTATATGAGCCTGGAATGTCCACAATACTCGGAAATGTCTGACCAATTAGGCCTGCGTCTTATTCTCCGAACTAGTCCTCCCGACCGCGTCTCCAGCCAATACCCATACTTATACTTGGTACGGCTGCGATCATGCCTGATCTAGCCGGCCTCGAGGACGTCCCGAACTGTACCTCTCCATGTGTGACGACCCATGGCAGCAGGTCTGAATAGTTCAACCCAGTCTCTTCACCAACGACGGGGACTGAACCATATTCAGGAACCATATCCATGTCTTGACGAACAGTGTCGAGCCAGGTTTCCAGTTGACCCCTCTTCGACGCCTCCAATTGGGTAACAGTGCCGGAACGAGAGCAGTAACGCTGAGCTCCTGAGGTGGACGACGGGGAACATTCCCAGACCACCTCAGTCGCCTTTCTTGGATAAACTGGGTAATCCTTCCGAAGTAGTCGCAGTGAGCGCGGACTGTATACTTCACTCGAAGGGTGATCCTCAAGCAGTGGTGGTCTAAAACCTACAGCTTTTGTTCATCCTCCACTCGCACAGTCCAACATTCCCAACCACAGACGGCAGACCGGGCAGATGCACGGTACACGCGAATCATAGTGGTGATGGAGATGTCGCGTCGGATCCATAGGCCTTTTCTAAGGCTTGAGAAAACCCAGCGGACATTCGGTGGCAGCCTCGCCCTAACGCATTTAAAACTGTCTGCTTCCTCAAGCTGAAAGTCATCGATCCCGAGAGGTGCCTTCTGATCAAGGATGCAGCTTGAAAACACCTTAGTCTTCCCCGCGTTCATGGATGAACCGACCGATTTGGCGACTTCGTTCACCCGTGATCAAAGACCCCGTCAGTGGATATATTCAAAACTCGACCCGCGAATTGCGTCCATTTAGCAGCCCCATGAGACGGCAGACCATGCGCCGAGCCCATTTTAGGTCGAAATCGCCCGGGAATCCTCTCGGCTGAATCAAAACCTGGTTTTCGAGGGCATCAAGGTGGCGGACGCTGCGATAACTAATCCACCCGATGCCGGCCTGCGGGACTGACGTACCAACTGGCCGAAATCGCCCACGGAGTCTGAGCCGATCGACTACAGCTGAACCCCATCATTTGCGCTGCCATGGACCTGTACCATAGAGCAGGCAGTCGTCATATGGACCACCGTCAACAGTCACGACTGCCTATGCTCCGACATAAGTCTATGAATCTCCAGCGCCGCAGCAGGGGTTGTCGGTAAAGGTACTAGAATTTGACGAAATTAGCCAGACACCATCACTATCCAATGAAATACTACCACCAACGAAATTCCAGGAAACTGCACAGGGAAACCAGAGCACAGGTTAACTCTCGACTATATTACAGAAACTTGCATTCACTTTTCGCTCTAAGTTCCCTAGTAGTACCGGGTTCTAGACGCCTATGTATGGGAAAGGAAGAACATGGGACGTCCAAGAAAGTCAAGAGGAGAAAACAAAAGTAATGGCCCTGCAGAGGTGCGCACTTTCTCAGAAACCACTGAACAACGATCATTAATATCGATATTAACCGAAAAATTGCGACCATGCTAATTCCAAATTCAAATTTTAAAAAGTAAAACGTATAGATAACAGTAAAAATTTATTGCGGAATTTTCTGTACAACAGTAATTGTTTCGCCCTTTAGAAGAATGCGTCCTTCAAGAAGAGTATAAAGTTAGCGACTGCTCTTACCAATGAACCGCTTTGCTCCAGATTTCATGTGGCGCTCACAAGCCTCGACAAGCACCAAATTCATGTATTCATCAAAACCGACTATCCGACCTTCTATGCGAAGGTTACATTGCTCATAAAGCCAAACTTGAACGCGACTTTTCTGGAAAAACAGTAAGCTTAAAAATGTCGACGCTCACCTTTTGCATAAAACTGAAAAGGACGCTCTGAAGAATAAGTTACTATTAGTAAAAAAATATTGCTTACAATAGGTTGTACGATAGCTTTGTGCGCATGTCCACCGCCGCGATGCATCATCACGCCCGAGAACTTAGAAAAACGAAGTCGGAAGGACCGCGCGGACTTACAAAGCCAGTCAAACAATACTCAAGGTTCAAACTTGTAATTTGAGTTCGGGAACAGGTTTACTTGTCGTCTAATTTCAGAAACATAAACTTGCATACGACTGAATGGTAGGATACTTCTTTCTAAGGAATATATCAACATATTACAAATCTAAAATTGAAGTGGTTGTAGGCTTGGTCCAAATAAACTAAAAATGCAGACAACAATAAAAACATACGAAAAAGAAGGCACTTTTTTCTAGTTCATCCATAGGAGGGCAATAGTGAGAGACCACTGTACATAAGAAAATACATATGGCCATAGTGTGAGATCATTTCCATGTATCAAGGAATATGGACATATTTGGCTGCGCTCCATTCTTCGCTCCCCCCAGACGCCAAAATGGCATCAATATGCTGAGTACAAACACCGTACACTCAGACATGTTTTTTTGATCTTCGTTTAATCCATTCCATGTACAACGAAACGCTGCTTGAATACTCTTTGTTTGGCTCGTAGATGTGCACGTGGTTCATATAATATATCAGCATGCGCATGGAGATTTTGAGTACATCTACATTGGAAATAATACTCGGCTTCTGCGACTCCGATCAAACCAACTGTCTGTATGTTTTAATGAGATCCACACGCACCGTGTCCGTGCATGTGTTGAAAATGAGCACTGTCAACCAAAATGAGCCTGTTTAAATCCGAAGAAAATGAGAATTCTTTGCCTCGTCATGTCATATTTCCGAAAATTCTACAATTAGAAGAATATGGGTGATCCACGCATATGAGCAAGTTCAATATGCGATTGAGCTTTTGATGTCTAATAAACACGAAATCTTTTGTTCTGGGAGTTTTTGAAGACGTTTTTATGTGAATGCATTCCTTCCTTTTGCCTTTATAACAATTTATATATCTACCTTATCTGATACAGACTTGACGGTGAGTGAATTTCTCAAATCCATGTCAAATTTGTTAACAGAAGTGGCATTCACTTCAAAGGCATTACATAGATCCAACTTTAATGCTCATTTTGGTTATCTATGATTAACCCATCCTTTCATTATGCTTGAGTTAAGCTACAATTCAGTTATCTAAGTACTAATTCTGCTTGCGTTCTTCTACTTCGAAACGGTGTCCTTTCTTTCGAAAACTTTCGCATCATCTACAAACGGTAAATGTTTTTTGAAGTAGTATTCAGCAAATGATCCAGAACATGCGTTGAAATGATAGACATCGCACTTGTTATTTAGGAAATCCACTGCTAAATAACAACTCGACTGTTGTCAAATTTTGCTGAAACGGGGGACGTCCTGCTGGTAAGAAACTCTTAAACGCACATGACACCAGTATTCATTATGAGTCTCCTTCCAAATAAGCAAGGAAATACGGTGGTACTCGTTGGTTACATTTTGTGTTGCTTCTAAACTGATATAAACTATGATGGGGATTATTGTAATATATGATCCTCCTTAATGAAATACACACTGGTTAGGTTACAAACTGCGTCTTCTTCTAAAAAAATGAGCACACATTCATGAAGCCTCTTTTCTATTATTTTCCATCCCATATTTGAAAATGTCTTTGGGTGATACTTTGCCGTCTAAAATGCAAGTACCTATAAAATAAGGGTGAGGAAAGCGTTCTCTAGTTATCTGTATGGCCGACTGTTCCCTAGCCAAAGTTGAACAGGCTGCGTTTGCGGCAACGAAGGCTAGACAAAATTTTGTAGAACGTTAAACTGTGGAGGTCAGTCCAGTGACTTTTTTCTATGCTGTGATCGATACACTCCGATGTACTTTGCATGATTTTATTGCATAGTATTCCATATTTAAAGTGCTTTTTGCAAGGATTATATGCGTGCACACATGTTCACACACACTTAACGCTTAGCAAATCTATCCGGCCTTTATAGAAACAATTTCTTCGCCATTTTTTTTGCAGGTCATATCATATTTCAGTAAAAATGACAGAAATTATTATTCTTCTAAGTTATTCTTCTAACTTATTATTCCTCTAAGGGCATCATTAATGAATTTCTTAGCTCAACCCCTACTTTTACCAACTGGCCAATATCCACCGGTAACCGTGCTTTATCGCACCAGATGACACCCCGGCCACCGGCTGGTAGTATCCCCTAAGTCATCGTATATCTGTTGTTGAAGTGAGGGAATCGATGGTAGACCGATGGATCTTGATGTGCACTCGCACAGCTGTGTTTCCCTGATTTACATCTCAGCCAGGGGGTGATAATAACGATAAATTCTATTTTAAAGACATTTTATAAATAAACATACAACACGAACTGAACGCAGAGTAAAAAACGCCAGATGTAGAATTACCAGTTAAATTGAACTTCGAATAATAAGACTGTGGCTGTGTGTCTTAGCTGTTCAGGGGCAAAATCTGCAACTTGCGACCATCATGGACAGGTTGGGTGACCGCTGAGCACGGTATCAGCGGGCTTTTGCATGTTGTATTCTTTCTCACTGAACGATGAATGTCAGTCGGAAAAGAAGGTGAAGGAATAAACAAAACTCACCAAAGGCCAGGAAACTACCAACTGGGTTATAGACCACACAGTCTGCAATGTAGCCGCCTGAGAGAGACCCCACAGCAGGCTAAAGTTCACATACAGAATCCGTGGTTGTTAAGTTTATTTCATGTTTGACGATATCTTGCTACAATCCCATATCTAGATGACATCAGAATCTCCCTTCATGCTGAACTACCTATTTTCAGTCTATCTTTCGGACTGACCCTTTCCTGAGGCAAGCAATACATCAATTTTCCTTTCTGTCTGCCAGTCAATACCTCGGACCAACGATAATATGTAGCCGGTAGTCCTTCTGGCATCGAAACACTGAGACCAACGTCAGGGATTCCTGTCAATACGGACTTCTTTAATCGCTTGTCTTCTGCATCTGTACGGCTGCAGATTATGCCAGAACGTCGACGTTCAGGAGCGGTGGAATCATAGAGTCTCAGGTCTTCTGCTTCTGACAATAGCATCGCGCTAGGAATCATGTGACAAGGGCTTCCGAGGGGTTGTAACCCGTGTGTGCATTTAGCAAACCATTATTATCTTTACTGGTTCATCTATTTTCGAATCATGTCATTGGATTAGTATGTGGCGGCTAGGAGCCGAACACACTAGGGAGGAGGCGGTGGATAGTTAAACATTGAGGTGTTCAGTTCAGTTCAGTTCAGTTTATTGAGGGAAATAGGCGTAAGCCTTTGAGTACCTATTTGCAAGGTAAAAAAACGTGTGGTGTACAGATAGATGTTCTGGGCTGAAATAGTTGGAACACGCCCATAATGATGGGACAAAACGAGAAGGAGTTACAGGGAGTGAGCTCGACTTCTCATCGCTCTTGGTCATGTCGGAACATAAATATGTCCAGATTCTTCTTAAAACTTTGTATAGATGGTGACATCACAACATCTGCGGGAAGCTCATCCCACGGTTTGACCACCCGAACCGAGAAGGAGAACTTCCGCACATCCAGCCGTGCCTGCTGAGTGCGCAGTTTTAAAGGGTGACCTCGGAGGTGTAAAATCGTTGCCATTGAAAGGGTTTAACGCATTGGTTATTCAATGTAGATGTTAAGGTTCAGGGCTTCCGGAACCAAACTCGGCGTTCCGTTCGTGTTTCGGCCTCGAAAACCACCTAAAAACTGAAAATAATAATAACATTTTTTTTTATTAAAGACCCGTCGGATTCCGAGCAAAGCAACTAGAAATAAGTTTACATAAGAATTTAAGACGAGGTAGGCAGAATCTGTACAAAAAGCAATTCATAGTTTCTGAATTAATAGTCCACTGAAAAAAACGACTAGCGAGATGTGAAAAAAAAACTCCACACAAAAATATAAAAATGACTGGGTTAATTTTACAGGAGAAAAACCCCTCGGCAAAAAATAATAACAGAAAAATGCAGGCAGGACTGCCCTGTGTGTGCCGGTATATAACAGATTATAATCCGACATCGTCAGGGCAGAAATAAATGTCAGCCTTGAGGGGTACGTATGCGGGTCGGACAGGACTGGCCTGCATGTGGTATTGTATGCGGGATTCAGAACTGACATCGTCAGGACAGGAATGATACGCCGCAAGAGACTACTCGCGTCAAAGAGGCCAGACGAGAGGAACCCAGACGCGATCGGACACAGTACGCTACGAGCCCAGCCGAGGAGTGGGGAAGGGAGGTACGACCAAACTACTAGTAGACGGTGATTACTGAGGGTTCCGCCGTGAGCGTCGACAGACCGCTTGAGGTCGAAATGCGGGAGATCACGGACCGCGAAAATCGTCGCTATGGGGGAGGAGTGATAGCAGTGGATTTAGAAACCACTTATAGACAGGGGTTTTGAATGACATAACTGAGGGTAACCAATTGATCTACCACTAAATTCCAGGAGGACCAATCGGCAAGTCAAAAAGTTGAGTGTTCCGGAATGAGACCGTTAAAAGTGCCTTCATACTTTCAGTTGTAAGGTGTTTGCGTAATTTCGACTTGAATACCAATAACTTAGGCGACGACCTAATTTCTGGCGGAAGATTATTTCAAAGTAAAGCATATTTGAAAGCAAAGAAGAGGGAGAGTTTAGATGTAGTGCAAACAGGCGACGGCGGAGTCCAAATGGAGGAGTTGCGCGTGGCATAAGACCGAACTCACGGAGAGAGAGTGCCAATGAGCTAAAGATTGGGGCTAGAGTTCATGCGAAAAAGGAAGCAAAGGCCAGCTTCGAATCTTCTAACCCACAAAAATTTAATGTTCGCCTGCTGACATCTCTGAGTATAAGGAATACCGGACGAAGCTTCTGAGAACAGTTAAGTGTGAAAACCCTCTGAACATTTTCGATTCTATTACAATCACAGGCGTCCATTAAACCGAAGAAAGGACAGCAGTATTCGAGGACTGGAAGAACAAACATTTGATAAAGTTTTAGCTTCGTTTCCGGAAG